AGAAATTACATTGGGTAGAGATTAAGTGAGGAGTTGTAAACTGGGATTTTAGCTCTGAATTAATTCTGCTAATAGTGGATTTCCTTCCTGGCTTGGTAGCCCCCAGATGTAGGTGATGTTGCACCGAACCGGGTTAACAATTCATTGTGTTATTTATCTTTCAGCATTTATAATTCTGCACAATTTAAATGGTTAGATAAATAGTTCAGTCAGTCTGCAGATGTTACAACAGATGTCATGACATTAGAAATTTTTAAAGGAATTTAAAATGGTCATGTTCTGTCCTTGTTCTGTTTTAGCAGAGATCAATGTTCTTTGCATCTCTTAGGACATCTGAGATCTGCATACCAGAATTTCAATTGGTATCAGAGTAGGCATCCTGTCTGTTCTGGATGAGATCTTGGGACATACTTTCTAGTGTTTTGAACAAGGAGACGTGGTAGCTGATTTGCTGATCTTGCTAAATGTCTGAGCTGCTACTTATGGAGTTAAGGGGGTGTTTGTGTTTACTCCTGTGTTTGAAAGTTTTAGTGTATCTGCTGCTGTGCTATCTAATATAGGAGCCTCTGTGATTTGTTGAATGATCTTCTTATATAGATCATATAATATACTCAAGGAGGAGTGGCTTCTTCCTCTGTATGGTGTCTTATAAGATGTTCTGACATCTTGTTCAGGGCATGTTGAAGAGGTTCTTTTGGTGGTTCTGCTGCATATTTTTCTGATGGAAGAACTCTGATATCAATGTTTCCTGAAAGCTCTAGTCATTCCAACGTCGGGAGCAATGGAATAAAGAGAGTTGTTTGTTGATATATGTTATTGCTGACTTCATACTTGGAAGATTGTTTTTTTTTCATGTACCTTGAAGTCAATTTGAAGAGAAGAGCTCTTTCAGGGAGATAATCTGGTTCTCATGCTGAAAAAGGATTTCTGAAGGTCTCTCGTGCTGATAAATGATATAATGGGAGGTGATTTAATTTCACCATTCATGTTTTACAAGAGCTCTATTAGCAAGAGGAAGTCATAGGCAGGTTGAGTCAAGGGTGGCAGCCTTGTTGTTTCAACATTCAAGATACTTATACTAAAGAATACTTTTGGTATTAGTGAAGTGTAAATATCTATCATATGGTCTTCTCAACAAGGTGTGTGGATCTAAGACCAGTTGCTATTTGTGGACTACACACGTATTTAATTGGTTATCCATGAAGTTCAGAGAAGGATTTATTATAAGGATTTAAGATTCATTTCTATTTGATATATTCTCAAATATTTAATGGATTATCCTTATTTGATGATCAAGTTGTCTCATTAGTTGTAGCACAAGTATCAGGCCCTTGAGGATCTGATGTTCAACCAGATGTTGAGACATTCCATCAGCAGAGTTTGTGTAGAATTCTGTTGACTCAAGGAGTGAATCACTAGATCAAAGGAGATATAGCTGATGGTCTTGGTACCATGCACATGTGTGGTAGGATCTGTCTTTATTCTATTAAGGCTCTTTGCAAGAAACTAAGGCTAGAATGTAGTGCTGATGGAAGTGAAAATGAAGACATTTTTCTTGGATCAGTTTATTAGAGTGCAGCAGGTGTGTTCTAGTCTCTACTAGAAGCATCTGATATTTATCTAGAAAGTTTCCTGGAAAGAAACTTGTCTAGAATATGGTGTTGGTGATAGCACTGCTTGGTTCAGCTTATTTCTGACCTAAGTACATATGAGCATGTGACCTTGCTCATCTTGGAGGTCAAGGATAAGTGGCAGTTATCTCTGACTTTCTGAAGAAGTCTCTACTTAAGGGAAGCGGGATTACTTCTGCAAAGATCTCTTGTGACTAATCTTCTCTGAAGAATAAATCTTTGGCATGTTTGGTTTCTCTAAAGAGGAGTTTTATGGAGCAAATGCATTTTGAAGGTAGCTATTGCAGAATAGAGGTTGTCTACTCAAACTTGATATCATTAGTCAAGTCTATGAGAACATGGAACTCTTTTTCTGTTATGTGGAGAAGGTTATTCTAAGTGGCAGAATGAAAGCCTGAACTCCCCAGCAGGATGTCTGATCAGATGTTGTGACATCAAGCAGAAACTTCAGTTTGCAGGAGCTGTGAGAAGAAGTAGATGTTACAGGTCCAAGTCTTGGTGTACCTAAGATTCCTTGCTATGGAGCAAGTAGGATATGTAACTTGAAGATCAAGTTTGCTTGGTGGATCAAAATATTTTCTAGAGCTCTGAAAGATGCTGAGTAACCAAACAGTGGCATTTGGTTATTTAAGTAGTGTGCTTGGAGAAAATTACTCTTGTGCAGAAGGGCAGTTGTTTGAAGACCAAAGGAGGTTCTGGTTCTATTCATATATTGGTGCTTGTGGTAGAAGCCCTAAGTTGCTTATGGAAGATTACCTTCTTTTGGAGATGTTTTTGATCAAGGTGGTGGAGCTGTGTTCTCTGAAGATCTTCAATTGGATTACTAGGAAGTAGTAAGTCCAGTTGTGGGCATATAAAGAACCATTGGATGTTGTAGGTATCATTCGGTTTGTTTTTCCTTGGAGAAGGACTTAAAGATCTGTTGTGGAACTTGTGATTCACATTCTGACTAAGAAGTACTCTATCTTGTCATACGGGAGAATGATGAGGTAAAAAGACTATCTTGGAGTATGATGTGAAGGGATTGTACAAGACTGGAGTGGACAATTGGTTGATTACATGGAAGTCTAGATTCTGATGTGTTATATGGAAATGAAGATTCACCAGTTAAATCAGAAGTTTTCTAACTCATCATATGGGAGAATGATGAGGAAAGAATGTCTTGGATTATGAGGTGTCAATCTTGCTCTCTAACGCAGGCTAGAAGTCTTGTGGAGAAGTGGTAACTCTAGTAAGAAGTGGAGCAGTTTGGTACCTTCTCATTGTATGAGCATGAGGTTGGTCTTGAGATACTATGGTGATCTTGGAGCATCTTTTATAAAAGATAGGGGGAGAGCTTCTGTCTGATGGGTGTACTAGTTACTTGTGGTTCAAGTAGTAAGTGAATGCGTTCAGCAGGTGTGTTGAGCAAAGAGTGAGCTCTTGAAGACATGAAGATGAGTCTTATGTTTTCCATTCATGTGCTTCTGAAAAAGAGCACTAGTTATCCATGATATGGGGAGTTATACTTCTAGGATATGTTGCTGCAATAGTAAAGTTTCAAGATTGTTTGTGGTCTCGAGCAGTTTATGATTGTATGCCTCTATGAGGATGGAATGTCAGACAAGATGTTGTGATATTATGTTACTGCTCTAGCTCATGGTGAACCTGACAGTGTATTCTTTTTGGTTCTGTCATTGGGTATCAATGGATCAAATCATATTTTTGGGCCTCTGTCCAAGTGTTTTGTCGTGTATGGATGGTGAAGATGAAGATCAAGACATCATTAGCTCTAATTTTGTGCATAAGGAAGGACTTTCATCCTGTCATCTTGGGGATTTTTCTAGTCCTTCAAAGCTGAATCTGAGTAATCTTATAGATAGTTATGTCTATCCTGCAACTACTTCTGCTATTTAGTCTAGTATGGTTTGTGAAACAAGGAGTGTAAAGTTGCAGTGTGTGATGAAGTGTTTCTTCATGTGTTTGGGTTCTCTCTTTTAGGGGGAGTGCTGATTATGCATGACAGGGGAGCTGTGTACTTGTATGATGTGTAGCTGATTTGCTTATGGTGACTGTTGTTGCACCCTAAAATTTTCCCACCCTTTTTCTAGCTTTGACTGGCTTTTACTTCGTTTTCATCTGCATATCATTTAGGTCCCATTTTGCCCGTGTTATCGGTCGAATTGAATTTATCAGGATTTTAGCTGCTATGCTCGCGTTTCAGGCGATTCAAATCAATTCAAACAAGAAGTTCAGTGTTGAAATCGAGCGAAAAGTCGCTCTCCTCTTGGTAATTCAATTCATGTTGATAATATCGGCGTATTTCGGTGCCCGCCCGTTTTTCCATGGCATTTTCATTTTTATTGCTATTTTTGTCTTATTTAATTATTTAGAATAGTTTTTGTTTTATATTTAATTATGTAGAAAATATTTTAAATCGGAATAGATGTTTTATTTTTAATATAGATTTTATTGGTTAGATTTTTTTATTAATTTTTAGAATATAGTTTAATTTGATTTTATTAGGTATTTTCTAGAATTTAACCTTTTAGTTGTTTTTTTAAATAGATTATTAATTAGTTTTATTTAGAATTTTAAATGGTTTAAGTTATTTTATTTTTAAATAGAAAATAGGAAATAGAAATTAGAATAGGATTTTTATTTAGTTTTTATTAGTTGAAATTGATTTTGTTTTTAGTTTGGAATTAAAAGGATTAATTTTTATTTTATTATTAATAGTCAGATTTATTAAGTGTTTAGATTAGAAGTTAATTAATTGTATAGGTCATTAGAATTATTTCTTTAATTTAAGTCAGCTTAAATTGATTCAGCTTTATCAGCACGTTAATATTCAGTTTTCAGCATCTCATTAACTCATTTAATCATCATCAGATTTTTAATCAGCATTTAAGTTTTCATTTTATCATTAACCAAAGCCAGGGCCACGTGTCATCTTCCTATATATACTGTTACTATTCACTTCCTCCTTCCTCCAACCAACCCTAATCCCAAGACAACCCTAGCCGCAACAATAGCCACCCACCCTCCATCTCCAATTGGCTTCTTCTTCCTTCATCACCCCAACCCAAATCCGAAAATCAACTCATCTCAACAGAAAACCTTCTTTCACTCACCATTAACAACTACAGAAATCTCCATCTTCCAACCTCATCTTCATCAACAAACATTACTCAACATCTTATCTCCATCTATATCAAAACCTTTGAACCAAGCTTCATCATTACCTTTAAGCTTCCAAACTCAAACATACTCAAACCCTTGTTACCATTTTTTCTAGAAAATTCATCACCGTCAATCAACCTTCGAAACCAACAGAGTTCACTCAACTCACATCATTCAAGCTGCGCCTAAACCAAACCCGAACCTATCATGTTCGGACTCTCCCAACCCGCTCCTAATTCTCCCAAGTCCACCATCAAATTCCTCTGTAGCTACGGCGGCAAAATCCTCCTTCGTTATCCCGACGGCAAACTCCGCTACCTCGGTGGTCATACACGCGTTGTCTCCGTCCATCGTTCTGTTCAATTTTCCGAACTGCTTCCGGAACTGGAAAAACTCTGTGGTTCATTCGTGACGCACTTCTGCTGCCAGTTATCTGCTGAAGATTTAGACGCTTTGGTTTCCATAACCTCCGATGAGGATCTCGTCAACCTAATCGAAGAATACGATTGTACCGCATCACCTCAATTTCCGTTGAAGATCAAAGCGTTCATTTCACCGCCGAGATCTACGAACAAGGTTTCCAAACCTCCGATACCAACTACCCCTGTTCTTCATTTTTCCGTTCAAATTCACCGTAACCACAACCATGGAACTTTCTTCCAACATTCATAATCGCCTCACAACAAACCTAGAAAACTCTTCCACAACTTCTTCAAATCCAAACCGAAAACTCAACCCACCGCGAATCCACCAGTGAATTCTCAAACCCATTTCGAAAGTCAACACAACAACCCAACTTCATCTTCTTACCTGGCAAAACCCAGATCTTAAAACCCATATTCTTCTTCCATTTTCGTCTTCACCGCGAAACAGACGCATCACCCTTCCCTTCATCAACTCCAAACAACACAACCCAATCTCCATGAACAAAAACCTTCATTCCCAAATCAAACACCAAAATAGAAAACTAACCCAGGAGCGGAAAATCCAAGAATATGAGAAGAAGAAGAACCGTTATTAAAATAGAACAAAAGCGGAGAGTTGGAGTTGATGGTTGTTGCACCCCAAATTTTGACCCCTTAGATCTTCATCATCATTTTAGGATCATATTCATTTTATTATCTAATCTTAATCCGTTTCAGGTTTGTCTTTGTGAAGATACAGGTGAATTAGGGTTCCGTACAACCAAGAATCGAGGTTTCAATGGTTAATCAGTCAATGTATTGGATTGGTTCTCCATGAAATAAGTCTCCACATCATCAAGCATACTCCATTGGATCAAGTATGAACCCAATTTGAGGTTGTCACCCAAGGATCAAGAACAGTGCAGTTCAGGACACCCGATTAGGGTTTTCGATTTGGAAAAGTCAACTGTAGTTTGACTTTTGATTTAAAAGGTGTTCCAATGGTGGGATCATGGTCCATAAAGTTCATATGGATTAGTAAAGCCTACTCAAGAAGTTTCAAGGCCTCAAAAGACCCGGAGCATCAACAGTCGACTCGGTAGTCACCGATCGATCGTTCGGTTGACCGAAAAGTTAACTCTTCACTCATAAGGAATTTGACCTCAAAGTATGAAGCAAAAATGTTCCTAGTAACATATTACACCTATCCATGAATTTTCATGACCATTGAATTAAGGATTTAGGAGTAATAAAAAAATCGGGACATTAGGGTTTTGAAAGGGGGAAGACCATAACTCCCTAACCACACATCCAATTGAGTTGTTTCAAAGCTCATTGGAAAGCTCTTGAAAAATCCTACAAAAGTCCCACAGTGGTCCATAAGCAGAAAATGCATAAATTTGGAGTTTTGGCCAAGATCATTACAAGAGGGAAAAATAACTTAGAAAAATTCTAAGTTATTGGCCTTTTTAGGCATGTTTTTTTTTAGCAAATTTGAGTGGATTTTTGACCTAGTTCTAGTGGGAATCTGAAGATCATGAAAACATGGAAGTTTTAGAGCTACATTAAGGATTTCGAAAATGTACTAGAACTCCTCCATAGCCCTTATGAGTTGAGAGTTATGAATTCAATAAGATGAGGTTTCAACACTTGAGTCCAACATTTTCACTTTTTCACAAACTCATCTTTTGGTCACTTGAGCTATTCTCAGCCCTTGGATCATGTTTCTATTTGATATTTAGAGAATATGAGGAGAAGAAATGCAGAAAATTAGGATGGTTTGATGAGTCTTGCAAGTTGGAGGCAAGTTGCATTATTTTAATGAAAGAAAATGAAGAAAGAGAAACTTTATGGAAATCTTGCAGCAACAGTCATCCTACTGCCTAGCCACACTTCAATCACTGCTATGTCATTCATGCCACTTGAGTAATGCATCAGCTTGAGCCAAAGACTTGAACTTGCAGCTGCAACAAATCTCAAGATTGCATTTTCAAAACTCCCTCTAAAAGTGCCAAAGTACCAATCTTCCCCAAGCCTCTCCTTGCCTATAAATAGAGGTTTCCTCTATGTTGAGAGGTACACCAGAGCACTCTAAAACCCAAGAGAAACCATTTCTCTCATACTACCTTGCATTTTTCTTACAAGTGAAGAAAACCATCCCAAATACCTCAAAAATCTGCCTTGAGCAAAACATCTTCCAAAACCAATTTCACCCACTCAAAATCATCACAAACCATCCACACAATCCAAAAATGATGTGTGGGAGGTGTTCAAGCTTTTAAACCAGCAAAAAACTTCATTTCCTCAAAAGTCAAACTTTCAACCAAGCAAAGTTTGACTCCACATACAAAATCTGCCAAATCACATACCAGGCCTGTTTTGATCATTGTAAACCTCTAAACACCTTAGGTTTATGATGTACCAACTGTCCATAGCCTGGAATATCATCATCATCACTTGTTTCAAGTTCTGGTCCAAGATTCACTTGTTTACTTCAAGTGCAAGAAAAGTTGTCATCTTCATCAAGGCATTGGATTGGATCTTATTTGGAGGCTTCAAAGTTTTCCATACTGCACAAACTTGCTTGGAAGTCTACAAGAGGTTGGTAGTTACTATCCTTCTTTAAACTGTCATGAATGTGTTTGATGTGCATTTGTGGTTACAATGTGTTTTGAATACAATGCAGTTCATATTTGAATCTGTCCTATTTTGTTTGTTTGCTCATCAATGTATATTGCTTTTATGATCTCCATACAATATGCTGTGTTGCCATGTGTTGAACCTTGAGACTCTCTTAAGTGACATTTTATGTAATGTATGAACATGTGAGGATGTTGGCAACTGTTATGAAGGTTTGGGACTGTTTTGGTTCTGTTTCTGTTTGTGAAAGATGATGATCTGTTTGTGCTGCACCAACCTTCTTAGGTTTTAATCTGTTTGGTGAATGTTGATTAGAAATCCTCATGTATGTGTTTATGTGATGTTTGAGTTGTTGAAAACTATGTGTGGTTTTGTCCTGCAGCCTTTCTATTCATGTGCATTCCTACTTATGTGCATTTCTCAATCCATAGGTCACTTTTAGTTCTAACATCTTTTTGGATCATTTGTGTGCTTGAACTTGGTCTTAAACATATTTTGAACATGCTTGTAAGTTGTTTAGCCTCATTGGACTTGTCAAAGGTCATTGGAATGACTCATGAGAATGTTGAGGACCAATACCTATTTTTGCGGTCTTAAATGTTTGTAACTATCATGATATGTGCCTTAAACTTGACCCTTACCATTGTCATGTTAAGTATACCTTTATGATACTTTGAACTTTTGCTTTGTGTTTGTAAACATGAGAGTCTTGTACCTTGGAATCATGTGTTATGGGATGTTTGGCACTGTCATTATTGCATCAGCTGGTGTTTTCATTAGGTTTATATGGTAGGACTGTTTACAAGCCTGATATGATCATATCTTATTTGCTTCCTACCATTGTCCATTGTTGTATATGTTTGTTAACATGAGATATGATACTCTTTGGATCCTATTTGCTAGACAGTTGGTATTGTTTCATCTTTTGCATCAACTACTGTCATCCTTAGGCATCATAGTAGGGCTATGGTTGTAACCATGATTTGTCCACATATTGTTTACTTTGCCAACTGTGATAAGCTTGTATGTCTTGTTTTGATACATCGAAAGCCTTTAGTGTGAATCTGTTTTGAACTGCTAGTTAGCCTCATTGGACAAAATTTTGAGTACTTGCATCCATATGTCATGTGTATTCTGTTGAGAACCAAACTGTCATGATGCCATTGTTAAGCTTGCAACTGTCATACACATTAGGAGTATTAGGGCTAATTGATGATTATGCTAGCCTTGCCTTTTTTTTATAATCCATACCTGCTGCCACAACTGCCTAGGTTCATGAAACTGCCATAACACTATTTTGTTGTAGGCTAACATTTGACATATGTTTGCAAGAAGATATGTGCATATAGAATTAGGGCTAACTATTGATCATTGGCATTGTCATATGTTGCTGTCATAACTGCCTAAATTTATGCCATGCTGCTATGATTACTTCCAAACTTTGTCAAGTTTTGCTATTGTGATTTGTTTGTAAACCAAGAGCATGCCTTGTTTGGGGCTAATTGTCATCTTGTACTACTTGCTGCTAGTGTGATTTTCTTGTTAAAATCTGTCTACGTCCATTATCCTGTGGTTGTAACCTTCACTTTTTAAGACATGATTTGAATTTGATGTGTTGGATTTGGCATGATTTTTTGACTAAGGGCCAACTGCTGCTATTGAAACTGTTTTGGATTTTGAGTTAGTCAACTTATGGCTAAGGCTGTTTCTACTTAGTGTTCATGTTAAAGTTTGTTTGTGGTGGCTTGATAAGTTGTAACTTATGAGAAGTATGATTAATCATTGTTATGTTCAGTTTGCATCAGTCACTGCCAGGACTTGGTATACATGCTAGAATTTGAAATCCTTGCTAGGATGAGGTAGTAACTTTAAGAGCAATGCATTAAGGCTGTTTTGTTTGAGTTGTTATACATTGTTGCCTTGCACTTTAATTTAAACAATTTCAATCAGTTCACATCTAGGGCCTGCCAGCTGCTGTTTGCTTTCATTTTCCTAAATTCCAAGTTTTGCACTGTGTGTATGTGAAGTTTCTGGTTTGTGACAGGGGTTTAGCATGTTGGTTGTTTGTTTTGGATTCATTAATATTGTTGAGGTACCAAGTTTTGTAAAACAAGAATTCCACCAATATCTCATGCTTCCAAAAACCTCTTTTGAATCTTTAAAATCCTTGATTGTTTAAATTCATGTCTTGTTGAAATTTAGATTTAATGAAGTTGTGAATAATGTTGGAGGTAGATGCTTTATAACTGTTTTGAAAAACACCATTCCATGTCATGAGTTTGTTTGCAATTCATATGTCATATGCTAGTTTAAGATGAGTTTGGATTTGCTTGCCATATGGAATCAATTGATAACTCATTTAGAGCATGTGCATACTTTCATTTGGCTTTAAATGCATCTGTTTTGAACCACAACTTTGAAAATGCATTTCAAACATCATTTTTGCATTTACCATCATGTTTTATTTTCTGTGCATCTTTTGAGAAAACTAATGATGCTATCTTGATCCTTATCAAATTTCACACAAGTTAGGCTTTTGTTTTGTCAAAATTGATGGAGTTTTGAACTAGTTTGGGCCTTCACATTTTTGGCCATGTTGTTTGTTAGTCTTGCCCAGAAATACTAGCT